AAGTCTATCAAGAGCTTTCTTGGGTAATACATTTAGAGATGAGCCAGTATCCACCAAAACATGCGCCAGAGTTGTGCCCCTACATTCCACTGAGACATGCAATGCCTCATTATGCTTCCTTCCCCTCGGTGTTAGATCAGCATCTGAAAAACCTAAACCATTGTCCGCAGTTAGGCTGGCCACGCAGTCTTGAAATTGATCAACAAATGTCTCTTGAGGTACATGGGTTGTTTTTAAGAACTTCACCAAGGCTTTTGCATGTGCCTCGAAACATAGCAGTAATGTCAGCATGGAGATCTTAGAGGGGGTTTGCCCCAGTTGTTAAACTACATCGTAGTCGCTTTTCTTTATAATTTTTAAGATATCCTCCATTTCCTTCTTGGAGGTCTCGGGGATAGTCAATGACGGAGCCTTCATCTGGACAGGCTCAACCATAACACCTTTTCCTCGATCCTCGGTTAACTCAACAGTAGGAGTGTCAGTAAGAATGATTACAGGGGTTGTAACGGCTTTGTCAATAGGAGTACTTGCAGAGATGATTATGGGTATGGGATCAACCTTTGGAGCAGCCACATGGATAATTATGGGTCCAGAAACTTCTTTTAGGGGAGCAATTTCTGGAGAAAAGATCCTACCACTTCGGGTAAGTTTGCTAGTTCTCACAATGTTACTGATGTCAGAGTCTTCTTCCTCGGAATTTATCTCTTCGGCAGCTGGCCAGTCTTTCTTAATACCATGGTAATAGACATCCCCTCCATAATTCCATGATATGGTTTTGTCTGATTCATATGGGACTGGACCAGGCATTGTGATTATTAAAGGAGCTGCTTTCGGGACCGATGTAATTCTAACGGGTCTTTTGGTGGAGACCCTAGAAGAATTGGCAGAAATGGTAATGATAGAAACATCTTCAACATGAATAGGTGAAACATGAGTCTTTTCAAACAAAATCTCTTTTTTATCTATCAGACACTGAATGCCTTCCTTCAATAAAGGACAGCCAGTTGGTGAGGATAAGCAGAGATGGCAAACTTCATTACAGCCCGGGAACACACCGGCTTTCAACAAGTTCATTTTAACAGTCAGAAGTGGGGTCATGAGCTCGTCAACTGAGGTAACAAATAAATCTTCTTCAATGGCATTGGTATTGTGGTCATGTCTGGGCATAGGAGTAGAAATTACATTTGGCTTCTCAGGCGCATCAAACTTAATTTATTTTGCTTCAATGAGGTCTTGTATTTTGTTCTTCAAGGCCCAACAATTATTAGTATCGTGACCAGGACTTTCAGAGTGATATGTGCAACGGGCATTGGGATGATAATGAGGAGATGTTGTATTGTGGTTTTTCGAATCTTCTTTCAAAGTTACCAAATTGGATATTAGAAGATGCGGTAATACTTGAGACGGAGTCATGTTGATTATGGTAAACTTCCTGACTAGCCTCTCTACCCTTGGTTGATTATTTCTTTGTTGATCATACGTAGGCTTAGGAATCATAACAGCCCCCACCATTGGTCGACGTTAGGCCCTATCTTGGTTTCTTTGTGGATACACGGCAACCACCTCTTTCTTTCCGATAAAGGGCTTCCTTACAGCTGTAGAAGAAGATGAATCTTTCTGAATCTTTCCATTCTTTATACCGGCTTCTATCCTCTCTCCGGTTAATATTAGTTCAGTAAATCCTGCAGATGAACTTATGATTAAATGATTGAAGAAGGGACCATACAAAGTGCCCAAGAACATGTCTACCAATTCTCTCTCAGACAGAGGGGGTTGAACTCTTCTAGCCAAATCTCTCCATTTTTGTGCATAGTCCTTGAAACCTTCATTAGAAACCATGGCCATACTCTGGAGTTGAGTACGGGTAGGCACTAGATCAGCATTGTACTGATATTGTTTGTAGAAAGCTGCAACAAGATCTTCCCAATTATGAATGTTGGCTCTCTCTAATTGGTAAAACCAGTCAAGTTGAGTCCCAGACAGACTGCCTTGGAAGAAGTGCACCCATAAGTTTTTGTCAGCAGTATGGGGTTGGATTTTTCTCACATATGACTGGAGATGCATCTTAGGGCATGAAATTTCGTCATATTTAGAGAATGCAGGTGCTTTGAATTTTGGAGGAATCACAATCCCCGACACCAAACCCAATTCCTCAAAGTCCAAGCCTAGCACCCTTTGGATTTCCATCGCGCTCAAACGCTCTTCGAGATCTTTGTACTTCTCATCAGCTAGAGGGTATTTCTCTTCAGAGTAGTCCTCTTCTTCCTCTTCCTCTTCTGATTCTATTGGGACAACTGTTTCCTTGCCTTTACCATCTTGGTTGTATCTTTCACCGGATGTTGTTGCAAAGACCAAAGTCCTTCTTGTCTGCCCGTGAAATCTTATTCCCATGTTTAAGACTCCAATTACCTTCTTGGTTTTCTTTTTCCTCTCTTCAGCCAGCAGAGTCTTCAACTCTTCTTTCCCCTTGGCTAGGGTCATGAGCAACTATTGAAATTGTGTATTCTAAGCTTGAAGATCTTTCACTGTTTGCTCGGGATCCATCTTAATGAAATAAATAGTAGAGAGATGAGGAGACTTGTTGCAAAAGACCTGTTTATGTTATGATGCATGATATATGCATATGCAATGTTTTTAAGGTTTTTAGAGATTTAGATTTGTTTTAGACAAAAAGAAAACACACGCTATATTAATAAGATAAAGTTTGAATATATCAATGTCTCTTGGGCAAAATAATACAAAAACTTTAAGATAGAAAGGTAGTGTGCATCCTCTTTGGTGCAATGTAGGCATTCAGAGTCTGCTCCTCGTGAAGTAGCCTAGTGAGTTCCAAAACCTTCTTCTCGCTTGAATAGAATTGGGCTTCGAACGTATCTTGCTCTCCCTTGAGTTGTATCCAATCCCTTTGTAGATCTTTAAGAGATGTGGGCATGTCAGGATGTAAGATAGTGTATGGAACATCTCCCTCCATGACAGGCTCAATGATTACCGGGAGAATGGAGAGATAAGGCATCATAAGACTCTGGGCGCGAGTTCGTACCCATTTGAGGTAAGGCTCGAGAGGGATGTAATTCTTGTGCCCCAAAGTCTTTCTATCCACCTTGTTTAGCATCTTCCAAGCTCGGATAAATTTCTGGCAAAAACCTTGATCGTCGTTGTCGTAGTCGAATACCAAACCTTGAATCAGCATCTCGTGCGGGCCATCCCTTCGAGCGTAACCAAACTGTCTTAAGGCTAAGCAAGGTTTATAGGTGATATCTCCCCTAATTCCAAGTAAAGGGACATTAGGAAATTCTTCACAACGGTCGATAATGACAACATTTTCTTTGGATCAGGAGCACCAATGAGTGTTTGAATGTTTGAGCATCATCAACCTTTGTGACTGTTGCACCCCAAAATTTGCCCTCCCATATTCTCCAAGAAATTGCCAAGTCAAGTCACCAAATTCCCCCAAGGGTTGTGCAGTGCAAAGGTCCCCTATACAGTCAAAACTAGGGTTTGGGTTCTGATCAAGAAAAGGAAGTTTTCAAAGACCCAATCAAGTCTCACATGCATACAAAGATGGTCAAGCATCCTCATATCAAGTTTTAAGGCATTCAGCTCAAAATTGCACAGTCAAAACCCTAGATTGCACTACAGTCAACTGTAGGGGCAAAATGGTCATTTGACAGTCAAAAGTTCAAATTTTTGGTCAACATATCATTTTGAAGCCACAAACATCATTTGATCAATGCTTGATCATGATTCTCAAAATTTGGCTCAGAAAATCATCAAGATGCAAAAGTTACTATATTTGGACAGCTGAAAAAGTCAACTGAAATTGACCAGGGCATAACTTTCACATGGATTATCAGAAAAATTCCATCCAAAGCTAATTTTGAAGAAAAAGACATTTCCTACAACTCATCTTCATACTTCAAGTCCAAGAAATGCTCTCACAAAAAGTTGTCAATTTCAACATTATAGGTCATTTTCAAAAGTCAACAAAAAGGGACTTTAAATCAAAGGCCATAACTTGAGAGTGGTAAATCAAAATGACATGGGACCAAAGGCATTGGTTAGAGGACTCAAAGACCTTTCCAAAATATCCAAGAACGTGTGAAAAGCTTAAAAATTGAGCAAGTTATGCCTTGTGGAAGTTGGGAGATTTTTAGGAATTTTGGAAATGATCCAAAATTGCTAATGGGCCCATTTTTCTTCCATGATCCATCATTCCAAGCATATGCACGACCACTTGGCCCAAAGGGAAGTTTTTTTATCATTTTTATTTATTTATTTGGATTTTTAATTATTAATAATTCATTTAATTAAATTAAATATGTGAAAAATACTAAACCTAGTTTTTGAATCTTTTTGTGCATGAAATAATCTCAAGATTTTGTGCATAATCAAATTTGGAAAGAATCTTGTTAATTAGCCATGATTTGAACTAAATTTGCATGAAAAGATTAGAAAGTGTTTTGCCATTAAAAAAAAAATATATTGGATTCATGGTTACAAGGCTTTTGGACTCAAATCTTTAACCTAATCCATTCATACATAGAGGCATAACAAAAACCTAATAAAAGGACACGAAAAGCTGCGCAAGAAGGGATGGATTCAAAAACCTATTCCACGATACATATTTTTCCCAAAAAAAAAACTCTTATTTTCATCCGCAAGAAAACCTCACTTTTTACACTCAGTGACCATTCACAAATTCATGGCATCACACACTTCGACTCACCAATTCTTATGACTTTGTTCCAATTTCACTAAGGAACCTTTGGCAAAAACCCTCTCTTTCACGTGCACAGCATCACCAAAACTCCCTTTGTTTCCATGCTTGAAGGTTCAAAATTGAAACACCACAGTAAATCCTAAAACCTTCACAATCCAAAACCAATTATCATAAACCTTTTATCCATCCCTTTTAGACAAACTTGTAAACTATGATTTCGACTTCTATAACAATTTCAAACAATCATCATAAACCTTTTATCCATCCCTGTTAGACAAACTTATAAACTGTGCGAATTTCCACCGTCCCTTTCAATTCCAAATGACTTCAAAGTCTGAAGTTTTTCCGTATGATTACTCAAATTGTGGCTTCGGTTGCTCTTGATTTCTCGAGAAGCAATTGACCTGCATCACACAACCTTTCAACAAATCAACAACAGACAACAAATTAAACAAGGCAAGATTGGAGGAGAAAGAAATCATATCCAGAACAAAAAACTCGAATCTGCCGCGAATCAACCGTATCTCGTCGATAACTGCCGCGTCACTCGTCTCCACACGCGCGACTGCATTCCCCGTAACTGTCACCACCACCAAACTTCTGGCCGCCCACGCATCTCAATCGTGCCGCCGAACACGCATCACCGCTGGCCGCGACTGAGCCGTCCGCTTGAACGGCGAGTGGATCTGCAACAACGCCCTTCACCCAACACCGATTCCAACAGCCAACTTCGCATACCCACTCGCGACGGCCAGCAACTGCCGAATTCACTCTCCTCCCCACGACAACCGCCGCTCAGCCTCCAAACCGCGGCCACCCTCCGTTCGCGCAACGGATCTGAACCCAGCTCTCTCCTTCTGACCACCAACCGTTTCCATTAATTCAAGGTGTGATTTATCTTTTTTTGTTGTTTGTTTTAACATGGTTGTTTGTTGTTATTAGGTACAAAAAAAAATAGAACAATGAAGGAGGAAAAGGAATGAAGAAGAAGGTTTAAAGGGAAGAGGAAACGTGAATGAGAGAAAGAGATATCAGATCTCTGTTTGGTTTTCAATATACTACTTCTTATTTACATAATTTGTTTTTTTTGTTATCATAATTTTTATCTGCCACTTGTCAAAATTGGTTGGCTAGAAATGTTTGGTTGAAAAGTTCAACAGAACTTACTGACGGAAGGGTGCCGTCCAAGTGCCTCACTTGTTGTTCTTTTTTTTATTTCATATTTATTTATTTTAATTAGCATAATTAGGATTAAATTAGGTTTAATTTAAATTTTTTTTTAATAAACTTAAAATTGTAGAATTAGGGTTTTAATTATCTTTTTTCTTTTCCTTTATCATAATTAATTAATCAATAGTATTTTTGTAAATAAACTTTGCCATTAACTAATTAATTTAATTTTAGGTCTAAATTTTAACATGTTTTTTTTCTTAATTGTAGAAGTAGGGTTAATTAATTAATTTCTTAATTTTGTTTAATTCTCTTATCAAAAATTCATAAATAACCAAAACTCAAAAATCTTTTCTTTTTCTTTAATTTAATTTGTTAATAATAATTTCATTAAAAGGGTCCGCCGCCCTCGTTTTCAATTTAATTTTGCGCATTTATTTTATGTCGTTTATTGTAATTATGTAATTCTCCCAAAGCGATGTAACGATTATACTTCTCGCACTTTTACTTTATTGCTTTATTTACTTTCCGCTAAATCGGGTCCGGTTTAATTTTGGCGATGTGGACCCGCGCCCTTTGTAATAGTGATTTATTTTCCCGCAAACTTTATAACTGTTAAAAAGCATGCAAGAATGAATGTCTTAATTAAAATCAAGCGTAGAACACAAATAAACATGACAAGACAAATATCAATGAAGACAACACACAATTCACACACACCACCCCTAGGGTACGCCTCACTGTTGCCTTTCGAAAGGTGATCGTCGAGTAGAGGACGTCTTAGTAAGTCCTCATGATCCGGGAACCTGGCATGAGGGTAGCTTCTAAGGTGTCTTCCCATTGCTCCGGTGATCACCATGTCCCTAAAACTCGAATTGACCCGAACACCTCCAACGGTGGTGCTACCTACCTCTCAATGGTGGGATGGCACTACTTTAAAGGACATTTACACAGACGAATTCCTTAGGGTAGGTAGACGACTCATGGATACTTGCTCTCTTCAAAACAAAAATTCAAAGACTTTTCACACCAACACTTTTCCAAAGCTTTCAAAGCAAATCTTTCAAACACTCTGACGTACGAGTTGAACTGAAACTTTTCAAAGAATATTTTTGAAACCCACATTGAAAAGCAAACAAAACAATTTTGAAAACACATTGAGCAAGTATCTAAGAGCCCATGGATAACCATGGATAGAAAGGGTGCTAACACCTTCCCTTTCTATAATCTACCTCCCGAACCGAGAGCAATCTCTTTTAAGGAATTTTTCTGTGCTTTTGTCCTTTCCATTTGGAGAAAATAAAAGACGGTGGCGACTCTTGCTTCCGCGACATTTCGCGAACCCGCTTTAAAACAGTCAGTTCCAGATCCACCGATCACAGTGACCATCTTGAACCTTGCTCATTCTTTAATACAGATTGGGGAAGATGAGAAATAAACAATCTTGCCAAGAGAGGAGTGTAACATATAAGGATACCTCTTTTCCTCCTTGTGCGGGTGTGAAAAGAGTGTAAGATATCCCCTAGAAATGTAGGCATCGGGCTGCGTAATATGAAGATTTTGACGGCATTGATATTTATGAGTTGGTCAGGATTTGGAAACAAAACCATCCCATATATGAGGAGAGCCACAATTTCCTCAAAGGCTTGCAAGTCCAAGGAATTCCAACAGCTTTGGGCTTTCTCAAACAGGAACTTAGCTAAGAAACCTTCGACACCACTCCTTGTTTCCCAATGAGTTGTGATATTAGATGAGTGCAAGTGTAGAGCTTGAGCAATCTCTTCTGGCTTTGGGTCTCTTTCCGTACCGTTGAAAGGTAGTTAATTAGGAATGGGAATCCTCAAGAGTTGGGAGAATTCTTCCAAAGTAGGCACAAGTTGATAGTCGGGAAAGGTGAAGCAATGGTGTAAAGGATCAAAGAACTGAAAAAGCACCTTCATCATGTCCTCATCATGTGAGGTATCTTAGCATTTCTTTTTGAGGGACTAAGATCATTTTGAAAGGCAACATTTATATCGTCATCGAAGGACTATGATCTTGTATTTCGATTGTTTTTGCTAAGATACCCCACATGCATAACATGACCATTTTTTAGGTAACAAGTGGAGTTAACCTTAAGGGTGCTAGTGTGAAATTGTGTTTGATTACATGAATTTTAGTCTTGATTAGGGTGATCTATTTGTTGATTTCATGTCTTGCCATACACACCCTAATTACTAGCATTTACATTCAAAAGCGATAAATTGCAGAAATGTAAAGTCCTACGCTATTATAATATTTTAGGGATGGGGTACATATTTATGAATGGGGGTTGCAAATAAAATTAAATCCTAAGTTACTATTACAACCATATTGAAATGGATAAGAATGTACAACAAAGGTAAAATGAACTTGTTTTTGTAAATAAAGAAATAAGTTTGGTTTGAGAAAAACATTTTTGATCTTTTTGTTTTAAGAAATAAAGTAAAACATGTAAAAATGAAAAATGTCTTTGGTGTTTTTGATTAATGAAATAAAAAGTGATAGAAAAAATAGTGAGGAAAAAGAAAGTAGAATCAGCGTATTGCTGATTAAAGGAGGTCGGAAGTTCTGACTCTGGCGTACTGCAAAACAGATATCCTATTAGTGAAAAATAGGTAAAGTCAGAAGTTATGGGTCCGCTAGGAACAAAGAAGATTTCAGAAGTTCTGATACCGCTGGCAGAACTTGGTCTCCCTCTCCATGCTAGTCAGAACATCTGCAACTTGGTCATTTCTCAACAAAACAGAAGATGCGCATATGACTGTTATGGCAGGTTTCGTAATGTTTCAGAAATAAGAAATATCAGAACTATAAATCAGAGGCAAGCATGAATTTTCTAATCCTAGTTCTGAGTTCTAATTTATTCAAGAAGTTCTGAACTGATTTACTCCCTACTTAGGCAGACAAATACGTGAAACCTCGGAATATGTACAATATCAGAAACATGATGTCTACATTGTATTTTTGAACATGCAAATCTGGTAATGCTTAAGTAATGTGATGAGATTCAGCAGAAGCTTACCTTGCAGATGGAAAAGATTCTGTGAATGGGAGTTTGGTCCTGGACTCTGGTGATGTTCTGGGCAGCTTCCTCACGTACTCAACAGGTTGGAAGTTTTCAAACTCTGGAACAGCTAAGGGGTATGGTTCTGACTTCTTTGAGATGGAGGTGGACGGAAAGTGTATAACAGTTTGACTATAGAAGTTTGGATTGCTTTTGAATGTATATCAAAAACTGTATGGGTGGTTCTGGTCGAGAAACACTTGAGGAAAATGGAATTTGAGTGCAAGAATCAAAAGCTAACAGGTTTTGTATTTTGTGTTTGCAATTTTTGGACTTCTTGGAATTTTAGCAGGGGTTCAGGGCTTTTCTTTCTCAAATTTTCGACCTTTTCACCGTTGCCAATGGCTCTCAATTTATATGCAAAAATCTTGTAGCTTGGAGAAATCAAAAGTATAGCCATCATATGCTAGGCGATGACTTATTCTTGAAGCAAGTTCAAACCAGTATGGTTCAAGGCACAAAGTAAGGTGGTTAACAGCTTTTAGCTGTGCCTAAGCTGGATTTGTAAGCATGAATTGAGGAAAAGTACCCTCAGAAGCAAAAAGCGAAGCATGGGCCCTGCATAAACTTTGTATAAAATCTGCTTTTCAAGGATAACAATGGTACTTCTATGCCACACGTGGGGAAATCCTTTGGATAAAGACTCAAAAGTAGTTATGAGCATTAAATGATGATGAGATTTATCAAACCAGAAATCCTGCAATGTGAGATTTTGCATCATTGCTTAATTCTGGGTTAGAGGTTCAGCTTCAGCATAATTTAGAATAAGCATCCAACTTCTGATCCTTGTATCTCCTTGCTCCAACATGTTCTGAAAGAACTCTCAGACATTCCAAGAAGCTTGTAGCATGCTTTATAACCTTCTTTGAATTACCCTTGAAAACTCTTACTGAACCTTTATGAAAACTAGCCCAGAAGTTCTGACCCAATTCTGTCTTGAAAATGTCCAGAATTTGTTGAGTGCTTTAATTTCAAGGACGTGTCTCTGAACATTTATAACTTGAAATTCCAGCATTTCCAGGGGAAGTTCTGTTATGCAATGTTTTAGATCTTATTGAAATCTATAATTTTTGCGCCAGAAGTTCTTCCAGAATCAGCTTTCCTCATGGTGATAAACTGATAAGAAGTTCTGAGCTTGTCATATTTCTTAAACACTTAGAAAAATTCTAAGTATTTAGAATTTTTCTTTTGAATTTCTTGATGAAACAAACTTCATATTTCAATGTGTCTTGACGAAATATGATTCTTGAAGCTTGATTTTGATCCAAAGGTCAAAGTTTGGCTTTTTAGTGTGCAAATGACCATTTTGCCCTTGTGAGTGGCTTTCTTAGAAAATTTATAATTCATGGCTTGAAATTGGATGGAAGCAAACCTGAGGGTCCAGGTTGATCCTTTGAGAAATGAGAGGGCAAATTTTGGGGTACAACAATAGTCGTCGTTTCACTTTACTACTTGATCTTTCTTCAGCAGCTTGAAGATTGGCTCACAAGTAACAGTCAAATGAGAAATGAAACGGGCGATGTAATTCGGTCATCCTAAGAAACCTCTAACTTCCTTCTCAGTACAGGGAGTCGATATTTCTTGAATAGCTTTAACTTTTGCAGGATCAACTTCAATACCTTTACCGCTGACGACGAAACCTAGGAGTTTACCGCATCTCACCCCAAA